AAGAAGAAGAAGAAGAAGAAGAAAACAAGAAGAAAGAAGAAAGAAGAAGAAGAAGAAGAAGAAGAAGAAGAAGAAGAAGAAGAAGAAGAAGAAGAAAACAAGAAGAAGAAGAAAAAGGAAAAGAAAACAAGAAGAAGAAGAAGAAGAAGAAGAAGAAGAAGAAGAAGAAGAAGAAGAAGAAGAAGAAGAAGAAGAAGAAGAAGAAGAAGAAGAAGAAGAAGAAGAAGAAGAAGAAGAAGAAGAAGAAGAAGACGAAAAAGGAAAAGAAAACAAGAAGAAGAAGAAGAAAAATATTTTTTTTTAAAGAAAAGACGAAGAAGAAGAAGAAGAAGAAGAAGAAGAAGAAGAAGAAGAAGAAGAAGAAGAAGAAGAAGAAGAAGAAGAAGAAGAAGAAGAAGAAGAAGAGGATGATGATGATGATGATGTTAAATTGTTTGTTCACTTCATAGCCGATCACAGACAGTAGCAGTGGGTGGTAAAAGGAGAGCTGCAATCATCGCTCCAGATGTGCCGTGCTCATGATTGTGAACGCCCCAGATGTGCCGTGCTCATGCTTGTGAACGCCCCAGATGTGCCGTGCTCATGATTGTGAAAGTCACCAATCCTCGCTTGCATTTTGCGAGGGTTTAATCAAAACGATAGTTCAACGATAGGCTGCGATCGAAAGTAATTCCAGCGTCTTCTTGGCCAATAAGAACTGCATTCACGAATATCGATATTCAGTCAGACAGGTACATGAAATAAATTGAGTTCATTTGAGACAGCAAACAAAATAACAGGGACAGTAATTACATTCTCATGTTGTTAGACACGAACTGATACACACAGCTGCAGATCGCAGATTATGGAGAGGCATGATCGCCCAGCCAGTCGACAAGGCATTTGATGATGACGATGTTGTCAGATGTAAGTAGTAGAAAAATTAAGCAGCGAGGTACCATTTAACACTTGTCGCGCATAGGGAATATAGTACTATGTATATATTTTATACACCAATCATCATTCGATTGTTGTTGTGGTCATAATCACACCCACAACCTTTACTTCTATGACATTCCGGAGAATCCATTTTAGGCTGGGCTGAACCTGAAGCCCAGATCATTGTGTGTGTGTGTGTGTGTGTGTGCGTGTGCGTGCGCGCGCGCGTGTGTGTGTGTGTGTGTGTGTGTAAAATTTTATGTATGCAAACTCTAGCCCAAGACTTTCGAGCTCGCTAGGGTAGACGCTCTGCAAAATATATGTAACATTACTATATCTGTTGGGAGTCGCCGTGGCCTAGCGGCGAGACGCTAGTCTCGGATCCCAAAGACCACCGGACTTTTTTTTTACAAAAATGATTTTGGGTCCCAGGTTGACCTTGAGTGGGTCCCGGGTACAGTCCCGGGAAGTAAAGTCGGCCGGCGTGATGCTGACGACATCACCCATCTTGTCCTGACTGGTCTATAAAATATAGGTCTAGCCCTATATGCCCCATACGCTTTAAGGCGTGGAAAAGGGTCTTTCACTTTAATTTTCTTTTTTCTTTTTTCTAACAAGCCCAGCTCTTATTCTGTGGATAATCATTTTCCTCTTTCGCCCACATTTCCTTTTTGATCGCTTCCCTCCAATTTTTTTCCTCTATGCAACACAACGTAAAGCATCATGTGTCCATGAAATCACCTCAGTCCCTGCATAATTAATGGCCTGCTAGGACACTGTCAAAACGTTTGTGGTAGAGACCTACGTCCAGATCTATCAAATGTTTGTCATTCATCAAGGGAATGTTCTAAGGAGCGACTGGCGAGACGTGCTTGTAACGGCTGTAACAGCCAGTAAACCTTTCCACTGCAAAAGATGAATACACTGACTGTATTACTTATTGTCGGCTCTGTGGTTAAGTCGATGCGAAGGCTTCGTAATGCCAGGATGCCGGGGTCGATCCCAGCTGCGGGCCATGCGCCTTGCGTTGGTTTCGACAGTGGTATCAAGAAAGCCGACCGTCCAGAAGCAATGGCAAACTAGTGGACGTAAATTTGCCTAGAATTTTGGGTTGGTTCTGCAACGACCTGTAAAACGCAACAACCTTGTTTTACTTATTATTACTGTTTACTGTTTATTACACATACGCCACTCGGCTTGCACTCAAACATACCAAAACTAACTCTTGCTGCATGCTGACGCCACTCATGTAGAAACTGTAACTTGTGAAAGCTACCACTTACCAGTACTACAATGCTAGCTGAACATGCATAACTCTCTTCAGCGAAGCGAAGAGGAGAAAAATATAAGGTGATACCCTCTCCAGTGTAACCTTTACATAAAAACACTTACAAATGCGAATTGATCACGCCTCGCCACTATTAGGGACTTAACCATTTTTCTAGTGTCCCACCCATTCTTATTTAGGCCTACGGAAAGTTAGCACTGAGAAATAACGAAGCCTGTTCTTTCCTATCCAAAGGTACTTTTATTTTAAAATGTTGTCTTGTCACCTAATGCCAGATATAATGCAGACAAAAACTGAGTACACAAAAGAGTTTAACGCGAGTAGACTGCAGGAAAGACCACGAAAATGAGGAGATATACAAGCAGACCTACGAACACTTTAAGTCAAAAAAATGGAGAAAAAAAAAAAAGGCCACCAAAGAGATGGTGGAAGAGCGTGATAACTGCAGCAATGAACAACAAGGACTCGGAATTCTGGAAATGAAGACGAATGCTAAGTATTATTCTTAGGCCTCACAAGTAAAACACCATTTGGAAGTTTCCTCTTTTGAGTTATACAGAATTTTTCACATAATAATGTGTGCTAACATTGATTAATGTTTACGAGAACTCTGAAAAGTGGCAAAACCGAATGTTTTCGTCCGGTACATGTGTTCCTCTGCTGAGCCACTGTCTTCTTCTAGAAAGACAAATTTGAATCCCAAAGTGAATAAAGCTTTAAATATTTGTATTTTCTACCGTATCCTGTGATTTCTGTTCAACGGCTTTTATCACTATGAGCGTGGTTATCAGTTAATGTGAATTCATGTTACTTCAACAGTCTCATAGAGATCGGTACCCTTATCGTAAACAATGATTAATGACACAGAAACAATAAAGTGTCACAAAAGGTGCCCTACACGCCCTATAGCGTCTAAAAAGGTGCCGGCATTCACCACAAGTTGTCTACAAAGATACCGGTACTCTTCACAAGGTGTGAAAAAAGGTGGAGGCACTCATTAAGAAGTGTCTGTGCTATGCTGTAACCTTTAAGGCAAGCACCAAGCAATGTGGTTTTGTTGAAGGTAAAAGGGCAAACAAAGACAAGTTTATCTTGAGAACACTTTCAGAAAGAATGATTGGCATCAATAGAGATATGTATTTGTGCTTTATTGATTACACTTAATCATTTGATAAAGTGAAACATGAAGAAATTATTAGAATTTTGGAAACTTTCAACATTGATGGTAAAGATCTTAGAAAAATGAAAAAACAAAAAAACAAAAAAAAAACCATACTGGCAACAAGAAGCAGCCATAAGGATTGGCAAACCAAGTTGGAACTTTCCAAAACATTGAACAAAGCGTTAGACATGGTTGTGTACTATCACCCGATTTATTCAGTTTGTACAGTGGAATAACAATTAGATCCATACATGGTATGCCAGGAATAGCGGTTAGTGGGAATTACTGTTAACAATCTGCGATACGCTGACGATATAGTTTTTATTGCTGAAAGTTAAACACAACTGCAAGAAATTATATAATTGTAACGGAAAATGAAAACAAGGGTCTTAGTTTGAACAGAAGAAATACAGAAGTAATAGTAATGGTAGCTAGTCATTCCTTTGTGGAATGCAATTTTTCGTTATTTGGAAGCCCCACCCTGGCTCTTGCCAGGGGCCGCAATATAGCCCGGCCATAAAAATGGCCTAATGGCTGAACGCGGTTTTCGGGACCTCTCCACGAGTGATCCTCATCCAAATGGTGGCACTTTGTGACTTTGGGTGTTTATCGCTTGTGTGATGTCCTGGTGGGTATAATGTACTACTACTAAGTAATGGTAATTACAAAGAAAACTGACTCTCCAAAATTCAACATCAAAGTATATGGTACAAACCTGAAGCAAGTTGATTTGTTTGTACTTGGGTACCCTGATTATATCAGATGGAAGATGTATTTGAAAAGTTAAATGTCGAGTAGCTCAAGTAAAAGCACCATTTTACAAATCTTTCTTTGTCTCTATTGAGATGAGAAAGATCATTCTTAAAAGATAAATAGATCCTATATTGATATACGGGTGTGAAACATGGACAGTTAGTAAATTAGTGAAAACTATTTTTGAAGCTGCGGAGATGTGGTTTTATAAACAAATGATGAGAATACACTGGACAGATAAAAAGAGTAATGAAGATTTCTTGAAAAAAAAAATTGGCTCACAAAAGAGACAATCTACATTCTTTGGTCATTTGATGAGAAGGAGAAAACTGGAGTGCATCGTGACGGTAGGAAAGTTGGAGGGGAGGAGAGACAGAGAGAGATCGAGAGAACAGATGCTGAACAGTTTGACATCATGGCATGGAAGATCGTCTACGTCAGAGCTAACTAAAAGTAAATGAGACATAAGATTGTGGATAGACATGACTATCAACGCCACACGGGATTGACTTTGAGGAGTAATCTGTAATGCGATCAAAGCTGGTTGGCAACAGGACACTTGCATCTTTCTGTAGCTGCAAAATCTGGTCAACTAAAAAACAAGTCAACATATTCATTTTCTATGGCGAGACGCTGGTACTTTGCTTTGTGGTTTACAGCTAGGTGGCGGGAATAAATCAATTGGTGGAAGGAGGTTGATGACATGTGCTCTAGTGGTTAAATAATAATAATAATAATAATAATAATAATAATAATAAGACGAAAAAGAAGAAGAACAACAACAACAACAACAACAACAACAAAAACAAGGTGAAGATGAAGACGAACTGTTACGTTTCTCATAAAGTGCGTAGCTGTATTATGTTCCTGAGCACTTACTTGTTAAACAAGACCACATCTGGAACCCAGACGTGGGTGTGGCTAATCTTGATCATCATAATTCCTCCATAATCCTCCGGGTTCCACACCAGTTGGAAGTCATGCCAGTACTGCGGAAAGACAACAATACCAAGTGTGCGCAAAAGACAACAATATCAAGTGTGCGAAAAGATAACAATATCAAGTGAACAAGTATCATTCCTGTTTTTACCAAGAAAATGTTTCTTTGCCAATTCGTCTACCCAGTGTAGTGAAATCCGAAATCCCAGTGTTTGTACTACCCTGGCTCAATAACAATTTAGTGGTTCACACGAGCTTTATCTAGATGTTTGTTCATATTAAAAAGAAAACATTATGCAACAGCATCTTATTACTAGATTGCATACCAAATTTCAACAACTTACACAGAACCGTTACTGAGGTAGGTATGTAGGTAGTTGTACTTCACCAGGACATTACACAAGCGATGAACACCCGGTGACACAAAGTGCCATCATGCGGATGAGGATCACCTGTGGAGAGGTCCCAGAAACGCCTTTCAGCCGTTAGGCTATATCTGTGGCTAGGCCATATCTGTGCCCCGGCAATATTCAGGGCCCCCGGCAGAAGCCAGGGTGGGGCTTTAAATAACAAACAATTGCATCCCACACTGGGACGACTTAAAATCTACAAGGGTAACTTAGTTACAGATTGTTAAAGTTCAACAGTACTTATATAACCTAAACTCATTTCCCTCATTTTCCGCCGCGGGATTAGTTTAGTGTAAGAAATATTTTATGTTGGAAAAACATTACCAGATACAATAATGACAGATGAACAACCCCCAGTACAGTAGCGAAATAAATAAGGTTTAAGGTTTAAACAACGGATCAACCACATGGCACAAGGTTAGTAACCTAGGTGCTCCGTTCTACTACTAACTCAAGTCTGTGTCCGAAGAATCTCAGCGTAGTACAAAAACCCCATAGCACCGGCGAGGGTCCTGCAATATTTTAAGTAGATTTTTAACTGCACATTTTTTTTTTTTCAAAATGAATATGGCGTGGAAACAGAATAATCGAGTGGATATCAATAATTTGTGTCGATATTGACTTCATATGAAAAAAAAAATATATATATATTAATACGATTTTCAATGATGGATCAATTACTGGAACAACTATGACAAAGTATGACGCATATAATGCCCTCATGATCCTTCTCATTTTAAAAACTAGTTTCCGGAATGCAGTTTATGCCTAACATGATTTCCAAAAATTATACTACTAACGTCATTTAATGAACATGGAGATTTTGTGACGTCACCCTTTAAACCTGCATGATACGTTACCAATCTTAATGAAGTAATTAAACGGATAGCCTTCAAACAGCGACAGCTTTTGTCCACGATTTAACCTATCATCGAGTTCCTGCCATCATTTAATCTTTGTTATTATAAGGCAAACTTTCTTTAAATCTGTTTTATCTTAGCTACCGACCTTTTTCTATTGGGGATGGGGTGGGGGGTGGGGGGAAATGGGGGAGGGGGGCAAGGGGCAGTCATGCCTATGGCGCATCATGCAAATGATTATTTATTCATATTTAATATATTATCTGATCTTTATTGACTGGTTTATGTGAGGGGAAGTCACACAAAAAAGCCACAGATGTTTTGTTTTGGGTTTTGTTTTGTGGTTGTTGAAACAACTAAAGAAGATCATCATCAAGTGCCTTACCCGCTGCCGTAGGCATTCATACAACTCAAAAGATCTCGGTCTTTGGTGTTCTGGATCAATTCCGCTGACGATATTCCTCCATTCCACAGTCATAAGCCATCCACTATCATTTTTCTTGGTCTACCTCTGTCTCTTCTACCCGTGATCTTTCCAGTCGTCATAGTATTTTCCAGTGCTCCTTTTCTCATCACATGACAGAAGAACACTGTTGTATATAATGTACTACTTTCATTGACCATTCCCAGGCAATCACTGTTAGTTATTCTGGCAGCCCGAGGTATTCACAACTTTCTTCTCAAGAACCAACATTCTTCTCAAGAACCACATCTCTGTTGCCTCGAAAGATAATAACAACTTAAAAACTTAAAAAAAATAATAAAAAACACTTTACCTTAATTTTTCAACATAATTTCTACCAACATGGATGCACTTGACCCATTATTTTATCAGTCTTTCCAAACCTGCTGCAAAGAACTACGTGCTCTGTTTTCTAAACAACATTGTCACTTCACATTCAACTTCTGTGTATTTCGCTAAATGTCTCCCACCAAGGTGAGTTTTCAGTGGATCAAAAAGGGATAAACATTTGTCAGCATAAACAGGGATAATTTCTTTATGAATTTCCTTTGCAGGCACCCCTTTTGTTCCCCCCCCCGCCCCCCCCCCCAAAAAAAAAAGCACAACACGTTGTTATTTGACGGTAAACTACGTAAGTACAGTCGTGGTATGTTTCTGTGCTGCGAATGGGCGTACGACATCTAGCGCCACCTAACGAACGGAGACATAAAGTTTGATGTTGCTGTCATCTAATGACACCTTTAGAAACCATTAACTACATTTTCCTGCCATTCATTCCAAGAAAAGATAAAAATAAGCATCAAGAAGTTTGATAAAGAATATGGCAGGAACCAGTCACATAGTTTATTAAAGAACGAAAGATTAAATTAATTGTCAACCTAAAACCATTACGTGGTACTGACTGGTGGCAGAGCTGGCGAGAGAGACCGAGTTTCTTTCAGACACACTGTGGAGAGAACGATGTTTTGCAAATGAACTTCTACGTGATAAGGTTAATAAGGGGAATGTAATGAAAAAATGAATGGACAGCAACAAAGAGAGAGAGAAGTGAATGCTATCTTACACAGAGCACACTTGCGCAGTACACATAAGATCTTAACACCCGCATCCATCTACATCTCAGTAACACGCCACTGAGGTAAAAGGAATTTTAAAAAAAGGAAGTAAAAAGAAGACATTGAAAGCATTTGAGAATCCCTGTTCTAGCATATACACTAACAGTCTGACAGTTATAAATGCCAAACTTCTATCTCTCATTCTTCGCATGCCAACTAACGAGATAACGCTATTCGACCTTCAAAATTATATCGTAATACAGCAAGATGGGAATGTTGTGTGTAGTGAACTACTTCGAAAATTGCTGCTAGCACCTTGTTTGAGTTAGCACAATTCTGTATAATGCTGCTTGAACTTTCAGCGATTTTCCTTTCACCTTTACCATGTTTAAACGATACCCTTAGATTTCTTTCAACGTATATGCTAGGTACTTGAAGTTATACAGTATTGAATATTGAGGTATCTGCTGATGCACTTTCTTCCACCTTTTCCTTGGCAGTTAACCTTGATATTCCTCACTAATTAGTATCTCTTACATGCGTAGGTATGCTAAAAACATAAGGCAATCTATGCGTAAAATAATTTTCAAAATTGTCGCCACTAACGTCATTTAACAGATTTCAAGTTTAGCAACATTACCTGTCCAATTACTAATAAACTACAAACATTCATTAACTGGTGCCTGGTCAGAATGGAGGGAATTAAATGGTATAGAATCACTAGTGTAGAGCTTTAGGAGAGAACTGAGCAAGTTTCAGTGGACTAAGAGGTGAAGAAAAGACGCTGTCGTTGGATAGAACACACGTTGAGAAAACTTAAAACAACATAACTAGAATTTCTTAGCACTGGAACCCACAAGGGCATAGACATAAAGGAAGACCAAAAAAAAAAAAAAAAAAAAAAACAACAACAACAACACACCAATAACGGAGCTAGAGAGTGACTTTCATAAGATGGGAAGAACATGGCTAGAGCTGCATGCGACAGCGTGAAATAGAACGACGTCTCGTGAGTTGATTGAGGGCCTATACTTCAATTGGGGTTAGAAGAAGAAGCCTTACCTTCTAAACGTGTGTTTTTTGTTTTGTTAAGTGAGTTAACAAAACATACCAGTAATACAACTGCAAATATGTTAGCTTTCAGAAAGCGATAACTAGTGACAGGTTAGTTAGTTGCGGATCCTTTACAGGACGTTGCAGAGCCAACCCCAACAGCTCCTGGCTGTTGTGTGGTTTTTCTAGGCAAATTTACGTCCAGTAGTTTGCCATTGCTTCCTAGACGGTCGGCTTTCTTGATACCACTGTCGAAACCAACGCAAGGCGCATAGCCCGCAGCTAGGATCGAACCCGGCATCACGGCATTACGAAGCGTTCGCATCGACTTAGCCACAGAGCTGACAACTAGTGATAATGTTTCAGGAAAAAAAAAAAGCGATTTCATTACATTATGTTAGATACTACAAGATCAATTTTGTATGTGATCATTTTACTCCTACCGGTAATTACAGAGACAAATTTCATTAAAATAATCTTCTCTTATTGGCTCCCTAAAAACTGTGAACCTGCAGTTGGATATCGCAGGATGTGGAGAATAAGGACAGACCACGCTAGTCGACAAGGCATTTTATATATATATGTAAGTATGCCTGTGTGTTTGTGTTTAAATGTGTGTGTGTTTGTGTGTGTGTGAGTATGGGTGTGTGTGTGCGCGCGTGTGTGTGTGTGCGCGCGCTCGCGCTTTCGTTCAGATGAACGAACCTGAGGTTAACTTATTTTGTGGGGAAATAATCAATCAAACATGTGGAATAGAAACATAAGAAAATAACCAAGATATTTTCTTCGTAAGCAATCTTCGTACTGAAAGATAGACGCAGAACGTATGTCTCCTTCTTTGGTCACGCCATTTCCTATCATGGGTTCCAGGCAGAAGGAGGTGGGGCGGGGAAAGTAGCCCCGCTGCTCCATAACTGATTAGATGTGTTTCCTTCGAAATCGGAGTGCATCTGTATGAGAGTTGAAGAACCAACAGTTTGTATACAAAGAAGCTAGATCTGTAAAATGGGTATGTGCATGCAAAACTCAAGTTCTAGAACAAGACTAATGTCCAGCTAAGACTTTCCTCCGAACTTTGCAGCAGATGAACGTTAAGAAACAGAAAAAAATGTCACGCCATGAGAACAGAAAACACCAGAGTCCGTAGTAACAACATGAAAGATGGAGGGGAAAGCCTGGAATTATGAAATTTAGAATATTTATATCGCT